GTGGTGCTGGGGGATTGAACCGCGGTCCCTGATGCTTTTGCTAAGCTTGTTCTAAGTAGGTGCTTTAGACCACTGAGCCATCTCTCCAGCCCTATTTTTTATTTTTTTATAATGATGGGGATTGCACCCAGGCCCCAGAGTGTGGTAGCCAAACTTTCTGCCACTGGGCAATACCCCCTAGCTGTGACTTTTTTTTGTTGTTTTTTTATTTTTATTTTATTTATTTTCTATTTAATTTTTTAAAATTAATTTATTTATTTTTGTGTGTGTGTGGCCAGCTCAGCCCACCTGAGGGCAGGGCTGGCTGGCATGTGGTACTGGGGGACTGAACCGCAGTCCCTGTGCTTCGCTAAGCTTGTTCTAAGTAGGTGCTTTAGACCACTGAGCCATCTCACCAGCCCTGTTGTTTTTTTTAAAGACAGGGTCTCACTATACAATTCAGGCTATGCTTGAGTTTACTATGTAGCCCAGGTTAGCTTCAAACTCCCTGTAATTCTCTCTTAGTCTCCTCAATGCTGGGACTATTGGCCTGTGCAACTACTCCCAGTTTGACGTGCTTTTTTTTTTTTTTTTTTTTGGTACCAGGGATTGAACTCAGGACCTTGTGCTTGCCAGGCAGGCGCTTATTCTACTGAGCCATCCCCCCAGCCACCATGCCTTTTTAATAGTTTCATAATATTACATTATATACATGTTCCATATTTTATTCTTGTTTTGTTTTTTGAGATAGTGCTTCACTATGTAATCCAGGCTGGCTCAGAATTTTAATCAGTTTTCCTGCCTCAGCCTCTCTAATGCTTGGATTACAGGAGTGTGCCACCATGCCTGATTGATAGGATATAATTTACAGATGTTTTTCGGTTTGGGGGGTGTGTGTGTGTGTGTGTGTGTGTGTGTGTGTGTGTGTGTTTGTGGTTTTTGGTTTTGTTTTTTGGGGGTTTTTTTGTTGTTTTGTTTTTGGCTTTTTGACAAGGTCTCATACAGGCTGGCCTTGAGCTTGAAGTGATCCTCCTGCCTCAGCCTCTTGAATGCTGGGATTATATGAGGTGCTTTTTTGAAAAATCATTAAAAACTCTTAGGCCCTGCCAAATTGAGCCCACAAATCTGTCTTGACAGATTGAGGCCTTGAATCTGTGGTAAGGTTCCAGGAGACTCCAGGATTAGAAAACAGGATGTGAAGGATGAACAAATGTGGGAGATGGGGGACTATATGATGAAATGACTAATCTAATGTGGGGCCACACCCAACATCAGAGAGTTGGACCATGTCAACAACAGAAGAAATAAATGGAGAGGTGGGGAGAAAGTTAAGCTGCATAGTAGGGGGACTCGCTACTCAATGTGATTTTTTTTTTTTTGAACTATAACATTGTCATGAATAGGCATATCATTAGAAATGCTGTTAACCCTTACCCCCATCTATTAAGTCAGCATCTGTACTAAAGATGATCCCTAGATAATTTACATGCCTAACCTGAGAAGCCTGGTACAGAGGAAGGAATGCTGTATCTTTCCATGTACTGACCATGTGGCTTGGACAAGTGAGCCACTAGCCTCTGAATCATAATTTTTTAAATACAGTTTATTCCAAATATACAGAAAAACCCATAAGTATATGTCTGTACTTTATGATATAATTATTATAAAGCAAATACTTTATGAATACTGTTCAGGTCAAGAATAAAACATTTAATGGGAAAAAAAAGAAAGAATAAAACATTTAGAGCTGGAGAGATAGCTCAGTAGAATAAACGCCTGCCTGGCAAGTGCAGGGTCCTGAGTTCAATCCCCAGTAACACACACACACA